ATCAATTTGTAAAACTGAAATAGTGCAGAACTAGTTATTGCAAGAATACTTTTTCTTTTGTTTTCAATATGTGATTTTGCTATTAAACAAGTATATTAACGGAATATTTTTTACAAAAGAGATAATATTTAATTTAATTTGTTATTCTATTTTTTTACATTAAATAATTAATTTTTATAAATTAATAACGAAGTTTTTTAAGGAAAATGCGTACACGTTAACAAAGAGTGAATTTATATTATTTCTTTATCATTTATACTTTTTCCGTTCTTCATTTCTTTATTTCCTTTATATATTTTATGTATAAGAAACATCCCATTTACAATGCCTTTAATAAAATTGTTACCGTTACAGAAGTACTGTTGTAATAATTCTTCTCCCTAACTAGCGTAAACTCTCTAAAGAACCCTCCCATTTCCAACTATAAAATAACCCGCCGGAAATAAACTGCCGCTCGGACAAGGAAATCTCACGACTATCTTTGGTGAATTTAGTGCACATAAGCAATATCGAATATTGTTTGATGAATAGTATGACATTATCATATTTGGCGCCTAATCTAATTTGTGTATCGCGAGGATCCCAAAGCCGACGGAAATTTTATAATCAAAAGCGATTATAAGCGTTAAAATAAGATGTCACTGGGAGAAGCATTGTTATAGTATTTTGATTCAGAACTCACCCGATACCTAATAGGAAAATGTATCTTTTGAGTATTAGTAAAGAACAAATTCTTTTGGATATTGCATACGTTGCGAAATTCATTGACATAAAAATGTTACAACCTTTCTTCCATTAATTTTACTAAATTTCCTTATACTTGCTATAAAAATATTATCAAGATAGTAGTTTAAAAAACTATGATACGCATTCATAAAAATTGAAATAGCTTATAAATTTTATATGTTACTTAAGATAAGAAATTATTATTATCATATTCTTCTTCTACTATACATCTTTTGTTCATAAAATGGTTTTGTAACTCTCATGAGTTTTGTAAATATTCAAAGCGGAAACAGTTGTTGGATTAACCTGTATATTGTTTATTATTATATTAACGTATTGAGTTGACAAATAAATTTGTGTTTTGCATTGTTTAAGTGTTAATTAGAGAAATTAAATAAGAATTTTTTAATCGATCTGATAATAGTGTTTGCACAAGAACAATTTTATTATTCAAATTAATGTTGACTACAATTTAAATATAGGAAAGCATTATTTTTATTAATAAAGGATGATTATATAATATAATTCATGAATTTAATAGAATATTTCATAAATAAATGTAATTAATAAATTTGCAGATAAAGTGATGAAGTGTGTAAGAAGTTGTTCTAAATCGCAACCCTTATTTTATGATCAATTGGCCCAAATAATAGCACAAACTGAGTTTATTAATACAAACTTTGTTAAAAAAATTAGCAATTCTATTGAAGATGAATTTGTTAATATATATATGACTGATAAACTACAATCCAGGTAAATAATATTATTTAAATTATATTTATTTATATTAAATTATACTTATTTATAATTATTTTTTAGGTAAATAAATTATTTCGGAATTGTTCGTATGACATATAATATTTAAACAGGATGTCTGACAATTATTATACCAAAACATAAAAGAAATGTGAAATCTAGTTCTATTACGCATTACCTGTCGTTGCTAGAATTTGATAGATACGAGATATCTTGCTTGAAAGTATGTTTACAGAGCTTGTCTTATTGTTTCCCGTGGATTCATTTTTCATATCTCTTAATTAATTCCACCATAACTGTTGTGAAGTTTGAAGAATTGTTGAAATTTTTCTGTTGAGTTTAATGTACTCTACCTGCACACGATAAGCTAATTATTAGACATCCTGTATATGATTTTCTGTAATATTTTTAAAAATAATATTTTAGAGTTTCTTAAAAAATATATATTACAAAGTTCGGAATTGTCTATTTCATGAATTGGTTGTACTCCGTATTTCTGCTAGTCTATTGATCATATCGTAAAACTTAATGAGAAAAAAGGATTATTTTATATCTTGATTAGTCATATCCTAAATTGTCTATAAAAACATGTTGCAAGAAAATTGCTTATAAAAGAATCTTGTGAAAGTGTCGCGAGTTACATACAGTTAGTCAAGAAAGTCTCCGTACACCGCATTAAAATTTATTTAACGGGTAAATATCAATTTTAGGGGAGACAGCTCCAATGACTTTGACCTTGACATATATTATAGAGATCACCTTCCTGAGTAATCCTGAAAAGGTTTTAATCGTCGCTTGTTGTTTATTAAAAAGGTTATTAAAAAAAAGAGTTTTATAAACGGAACATAATTTTGATACACAGTATATATTGAAATATGGTACAAGGTTTCTGTTCGGCTCCTAGCCGTGCGACTAAGGGGCTATATCTCCTAGACCCCCCGCACCGCGGCGGGGGGAGGGAGGGCCAAGTTTTTGTGAGAAATTCTCACTCTTTCGAAAATACATCTTTTTTCATAACATTTATAAAGTATATACATTTCATACGTACAGTGTAAACAATCTATACCGTATTTCGTATTTGCGAAATTTATTTTTTTTTATAACTTTTTGTTTATAACTTTAGCAATCGACTGCGCCTCCCTCCCTCCACCGCCGCGGTGAGAGGCGTAGCCCTCCAGTTACACGGTTAGAGACAGACATATCGTCGGTCACAGATTTCCTAATCTAACGCGCCGTAAATTTTGTCAATTAATATCTTTGTGTTTGCAGCATTTGCTCTTTGCAGTAGAGAGCGACGATTTTGTCAAATAAAAAAGTTGTTTCTCATAATCGTCAAGGTCCTGAGTAACACGCAAAAGATTTTTTTGCTCGTTGTTTATTAAAAAATTATTAACAAAAGAATATTGAAAAATATAACAGGTTATATAGTATTATATATTATAGTACTATGTAAATATTACACGTATATATACGGGGGAGGGGCTCTGTCCCTCTCCCCGCACTCCTTCCCCAAAAAACTAACCCTAAAAACATAATCGCTAAAACACGTCGATTGAGCCTTTCATCGGAGGTAAGGGGCCTAAACTGAATAATTACCGTATAAAAATGTAAAGTTGCGTTGCGTATATACGTGTACAGTACACCATACTTTAATAAATAAGTTAGGTTAGGGTTAGTTTTTTGGGGAAAGAGTACGGGAGGAGGGACGGAGCCCCTCCCCCGTATATATACGTGTAATATTTACATAGTACTATAATATATAATACTATATAATATAATATATATGATATATAATACTATATAACCTGTTATATTTTTTAATCTTCTTTTGTTAATAATTTTTTAATAAACAACGAACGAAAAAATCTTTTGCATGTTACTCAAGACCTTGACAACATATGTCAAAATCAAGGTCACTGGAACTGTCTCCCCTAAAATCGATATTTACCATTTAACTTCTGAAGGGAACGATCGGAAATAAATAATTTTTATGTTATTATATTCAGAAATACATTTATTATTAATGAAAAAGGAAAAAAACATCCATTTGTTAACAAGAAAAATAAACAAAAAGACAAACATAAGAAAAATGTGGTAAAATAAGTCTCCGTACAGAGAGAAATTCGTCAGTTTAGTTTTAAGAATCCTGCAGAATGTTTACAAGACTAGGTCAGCACTTCGACATTAGTAACAAGTTAGTTTCTTGAGCACTAGCAAACAGAACGGTTTGTATTGTGAATATTTTCTTCAAAATGGAAATTCAAATTACAGTTCGACATTTAATTGTGTAATTAAAATTAATTGTGTAGGTGTACAACTTTGCTTCCGCCGTTTTTTTCCGAAATTCGAGGCTTTATTGTAAAAAACTGGTTATACATTTATGATTCAAAGTATTGTCCATCACTGGCCACTACTTTCTCCCATCTTTCGAGCAGCGTACGAATCCCGCGTCGAAAAAACTGGTCATCTTTTGAGGCAATCCACGAATCGATCCAATTTTTTACTTCTTTATAAGACCGGGAGTGCTGGTCAGCCAGGCCGTGTACCATTGATCGAAACAAGTGATAGTCAGAAGGAGCAACGTCTGGAAAATACGGCGGGTGGGGTAGGACTTCACATTTCAACGTTTCCAAGTATGTCTTGACCACTTTCGCAACATGGGGTCGAGCATTGTCATGCTGCAAAATCACTTTATCGTGTCTCTCGTTGTATTGTGGTCATTTGTCTTTCAATGCTCGGCTCAAACGCATCAATTGTGTTCGATACCGAATCGCCTGTGATTGTTTCAGTTGGTTTTAACAGCTCATAATACACTACGCCGAGCTGGTCCCACCAAATACAGAGCATGACCTTGGAACCGTGAATATTCGGTTTGGCCGTCGACGTGGAAGCATGGCTGGGAACTCCCCATGATTTTCTGCGCTTGGGGTTATCGTAATGAACCCATTTTTCGTCCCCAGTCACAATGCGATGCAGAAATCCCTTCCGTCTTTGCCTTTCAAGCAGCTGTTCACAAGCAAACAAACGCCGTTCAACATCTCTCGGCTTCAATTCGTACGATACCCAATTTCCTTGCTTTTGAATCATTCTCATGGCTTTGAGGCGTTGTGAAATGGCTTGTTGAGTCACTCCCAATGATTGTTCCAATTCTTCTTGATTTTGACACGAGTCTTGATCAAGTAATGCCTCCAATTCTGCATTTTCGAAAACCTTCTCTCTTCCATCGCTATGCCAGTCTTCGACGTCAAAATCATCGTTCTTGAAGCGTTGAAACCACTCACGATACGTTCTTTCACTAATAACGGCCTCACCATAAGTATTTGAGAGCATTCGATGAGCCTCAGCCGCAGATTTCTTCATATTGAAGCAGAAAATTAAAACCTCCCGCAAATGACGAGAATTTGACTCGTAAACTGACATTTTCAATCGAGAATAACTTTATGATGCAGATACAAGTCGACTAATGTTTCTATGGGGTTATGTTGACAGATGCCCAAGTTTATTGTATGACGTCTATGATCTATTTATTTCGACCACCACTTACCGCTAAAGCCATCTATAGGAAAACGGCGGAAGCAAAGTTGTACACCTAATAAGAAAATAAGATGCGTGTAATTCAGAAAAATTGCACAAATTGTGTAGAAGTCACATTCCACCGTAAATTTGTCAGAGGTACGATGAAACTAAATCAAATCAAGAACAGGACAACCTCAGAAATTATAGTCGCATCATAAGTATGCCATTCTGAGAACAATTAGATCTGATCCGCAAACAAGTTTGACAGCAATGATTACAATGAAACTGATTGCAATGTAAAAATAATGCCTGAAACAGTACGAAATGTAATCAGAAAAGCAGTATACAATGGTCGTATAGCTAGGCGAAAACCTTTCATAAGTTCAGTTAATAAATGAAAACGATTAGAATTTGCAAATTTACATATTGACTAGGATGAAAGCTTTTGAAATAATGTTATATTTAACGATGAATGTAAATTCACCAGTTTTAATTCACAGACGAAGACACTAAAGTTTGGAGGAAACCAAACGCACAAATGGAACCGAAACACTTGTATCTAACATTTAAACATGGAGGTAGCGGTGTGATGGTTTGGTGGGTATGAGTGCTGCGGATGTTAGATCTTTAATATTTATTGACGATATTTTAGACCATCATGTTTACTTTAAAATTTTGAAAGAGAATTTGATCCGTAATGCAGTAAAATTAAATTTAGAAGAATCGTTTATCTTTCAGCAAGATAACGACCTTAAACATACGGCAAGGAAAGTGGAAGAATGGCTATTATACAATGTTCTAAGACAACCCCATACACTCCTCCCCCCCCCCCTCTTAATCGCCTGATATCAACTCGATTGAACATTTATGGAGTGAAATAAAAAGAAGATTGAAAAAACACAATATTAAAAACAAAGAAGTTTTGAAATCTAAAATATTACTTGAGTGGAACAATATTCAACCGGATTTAACGATAAAATTATTTGGTACAATGCCTAAAAAATTACAAAAAATTATTAAACTAAAGAAAGGACCGACTGATCGTTAATTTAAAAGTTATAGTTAATAAACTTATATCTACGAAGACTTTTGATTACGTTTTTTTTATGTTTGTCTTTTGTTTGTCTTTTTATTTTTCTTGTTAACAAATGGATGTGTTTTTTCTTTTTTCATTAATAATAAGTGTTGTGTTTCTCAATATAATAACGTAAAAATTATTTATTTCTGAGCTTTCCCTTGAAAAATATACAACGTTAAATAAATTTTAGTGCGGTGTACGAAGACTTTTTTGACTGACTGTATTTAAATACGTTTAGTAATTATTTATTTGTCATAAAGAATATATTTTGACCGTAATTAATTTATTAAAAAATGTATTATATGTATGTAAAATAACACTATATAAATAACGAATTACCGAATACTCTGAATACTTTAAAGTACATATCTGCAGGGTTGGGAACGTTACTTTTTAAAAGCAACGCATTACCGTTACCGTTACTTGCGGTAAAAAGTAACTCGTTACCGTTACTCGTTACTGATTCTAAAAAGTAACGCGTTACCGTTATTTGAAAAGTAACGATAAAAAAATCGTTACTTTCCGTTACTTTTGTAAAAAAAAAAGTTAAAATCGGCATATAAAACGAATAGTAGAAGAGACAGTACATAAATTATACATATATAAAGACAAAACATAAGATATTTAAGCGGGAAGCATACATTATTGCATAACGACATAAAATCCATTCTACATTAGTCGCAAGTCGCAAGGTCGCAAAGAAATTGACGATCATAGTCGATTGTTCTTCTTGCGATCGAAGAATAATCAATTATGATT